ATGTACACTACACGTTTCTTACCCTCAACAAGTGTTAAATTAGGACAATGTGCAAGAGAATAAAATGTATTATTTGTAATGTACACTACACGTTTCTTACCCTCAACAAGTGTTAAATTAGGACAGTATGCAAGAGGATAAAATGTACAGCTTTTCCAGTAAGTATGAAAATATATCTTCTGTTTTTAAGGTATCAATACTTGAAAGTGACTACATGATTTCTTGTTTTCCATTATGATTTATCTTGGTCCAATTAACATGTTGCTTATAAACAGATTATAGTAAGAACCTGCTTGGGTACCAACTACTAAACTTTGATATCTTACAAATTATTTTCTAGCAGAAAATGAAGAAACACCTTGAAGATTTTAAAATGAAACTACTTGTCATTTGATGTCATTTGTCTCTAAAATATGTCATTCACTCAAGGAATAGGAAAACACTGTCACAAAAAAAAACAAGATTTTATATTGCTTTTGGAGGATAATATTTAACCAACCTTGTAATCACATAAAAAATAGAAAATAATTCTAATTTTCATCTATTTTCTTTCTGGAATGACTGCAAATTATGAAAGAAAACCACTTTATCCTAAGTAGTTTAAAGCTTGTAACAGTATACATTTATTTATGCTTAAATATTATTGTTTTATTGCCCTTTGAACTGCTTCTAACTAATATAAATTGCAAATCACTTGAGGAACGTGCAGCTCACATATCGGAATAGAATTACATAATGCAGGTTTACCTCATAAATATTATTATCATTAAAATTATTATTTATTTTACTTTATCTAACCCAAAAAGTTTTTAATTTTTATATTTTAGTTACTTCTATAATAATAATAAAAATAGAATATACATGAAAAACAAGAATAAAGAACTTAACTGGGTCTTCTTTTTTTTTGCTCTCTTTTTTTTCTGCTTTTTATGAAAATATTTTTTTCTTGAATTAAAAGCAGTTTATTTTTTTTTTTTAATTTCCAAATCTGTCTCATATCACTTTTTAACCCATTACCTCAGTTCTCTTATAATAAATCTTGTTTGGAGGCCTAAAAACAGTAATTAAAATTTGATTTTTCTTGATCTCAATATGTAGAAAAACATAAAATCATGCAACGATCACTCTTCATCATATATTCTTGTCATATAATCACATTCTCAATAGTGGTTAACAGTAAATCTAAACTAACACCCTTTCTAGTTAGTTCCTTGACCATTTTGCATAGAAAACTATTCCAAATCACTTCAAGAAACCTCTATCTCTTACTACTTGACTCCTTATAATGTTTAACAGTGTTCAAAACTAGTTTCCATGATTACTAACATCATTGTCCTTATTAGTAACAGCCTTAATTCTATAATGCAATTTATCTATGACCATACCTGTTTGATCATGTGACTTAAGATAATTGCTAATTATAAACTTTTCATTGTTGAAATCCCATGTTATAACTGTGATTCAACTTTTTGATTGTCTTTGTTTTTTATGTCCTCTGAAAGCAGATTGCAGTTTTGTGTGTATTTTTTTTTAATACTTGAATATATTCTGGAATTGTTTACCACCATATACAGTGCATATATACATGCACAAAAAATCAACTTGTGAAATTACAATGTACTGTATGCAAAATGGCATGAAGTATATTTTACTCTTAATACGATGTTTAGTATTTCCATGTTAAATTTTGAAGTTAATGTGGATGTTATATTTTATATTGCTGTAATAACTACAAGAATTTGGATCTATTAGAAATTTTTTCCTTATTTTGTGTGATAAAATGTGTAACATAGCTCTAAAAAATTTTGTTTGATAATGCCATGAGCTCATAATAAGAAGGTTTAATTGAGAGTCCACATCTGAAGCAGACAAATTTGATATTTAGTTTTAAAGATTTAAGCAAAATTATTATTGGTGTTTATGATACTTTCATAGTGTTTCTTAATTTTATTGTGTGTGTATATCAAGTTTTGGATATGTTTATTATCTAATCTCAAGCTCAAAATTTTATGGAATGATTTTTTTTTTCTCTCTCGTGGTGCCTGTCGATAGTAGGTTCAGAAGCTTAACATCTTTTACATGTATCATTGTACCTTATTAACTGTGATGATTTAACCAAGGTAATGAATTGGCTACATGGCAGGCTCTTATTGTTTTTACAGAAATGCAAATTGTTGTACAATTTATGTTTGTGTGGTCAATCTGGAGTTGAAATATCTGTTGGTCATAAAATATTTTAACAAGCAACCTATTTAAGATGAAAATTTTTTAAGATGCTTTGTGTATCAGAAAACATGTTATTTAGCTTAATTATCTGTATAAATCATTAAAATAAAATTTTCATAAGACACAATAAGTTATACTTGTTCAGTGTTTTTTGTTTTTTTATGAATATATCATCTGATTTTGTTTTACTGGGTCTTGGAAACTGCAAACTTTTTAATTTTTTTAGAAAACTTCATGCTTCTTGCTCTCTGAAAGAGCTCCAGCAACGAGGGGTGTGCATTTTAAACTTGAGACTTGGAGGCCATCGCACTGGGCTATATGGAAGAACCAATTGTACATTTGAACATTTCTGGGGAAAGCTACTACCTACCAACTTATTTAGTTCAGGTGCAGTTACTTTTTGTTTAAGCAAATATAATTATAAGTTTAATTTGAATTTGTTAGTTTGTATAGAAGTGGTGACCAGTATTGCTAAATATTGATTTATTAGTTGTTGAATCAAAAACTGGATGATTATTCAATATAATCAATTCACCTATGAGTATAAATTACATCGATTAGTGTCCTGTAAAATAATCGATAAATATAGATTATGATTAAGTTGATTAATTATATGAAAATAATCAACTAGTGTTTTTGCTTATTGCACTTTTTGATTAGTGTCATGTAAATAATCAATCAAAATTGATGTTTCTGATGATTATTCCAACTATCCAAATAATCAAAACATTGCTGTAATTATTTGTCTGTTATTTTCAACGATTTTGAGGTTGTTTAGCTTAATGGATTAGTGTAAAAGTTCACAAAAATAACCAAGTAACTGAAATTAGTATTTCTCAATATTGCTATTTTTGGTTATTCCAATTACATAAGTCTCTTATGAAAACACAGATGATTGTAATTAATGAGTGCAGTGATTAACCCACTCACTTCTACTGTCTTCTGAAATAAAATGTATTTATTGTATATGGATATGTGAAAATGCTAATTCATAGAGTAAATGTAAACAATGAATAATGAATTTGAAGTATACAGAAATCAGTATATATTTGAAGTATATATTCAGAAAGCAATTTTCAGATTTCCATAAATATTATAAAATACAAGTTCAGTAATAGTGACAACTAGTCTAACAATTTCATTTTAAAAAACATCAAAACTTACAATTGCTTTAAATAAGTAAAATTTGTAATGAAGATGAGTTCCTGGAACAAGAATGAATTCCAAAAAAGTTCTTTGTTGCATCCTCCAGTGGCTCAGCTGTAAGTCTGAGTAGTTATCAAGCTAAAAATCAGGCTCAGATACCCATGTTTAGCACAGCACAGATAGCCCATTGAGCAGCATTTTGATGAATAATAAACAACTAAATAATTTGTTGTAAATGACCACTAACAAGAATAAAGTGAGCTCCAGCAATCAGGGGCTAGGCAAGATAGAATTATAAGATAACCAGTCTGTGGACAGGAACCAGTGATTACACCATACAGGGAACAAATGCTTGAATAACAGGAAGCATATTCGACAATTGGGAAAATATTCTATTATAAGCATAATATTAAGAAATATTTATAGCTGTTGTACAGTCTCATTCTCTAAGAGCCAAAATGAACCAAATAAATAAATAATAAGGTCTTATGAGAAAAAGTGCATGGATCAATTATTCTGTTGCTGTTATAAGATTTGTTTGTATGTCGGCATCATGTAATGTCACTTGCAACTACTTACCACCACCAACAGCTCCAATGACCTTGCTAAGGTGTAGTAGTTAGTCTTGTCCATTTTGATTGGTCAGTGACAAATATAGTGAAGTGTGAAAGTTACTTAGTGACACAGACAACTCAATATAAAAACTCTCACTGATTTTGCCATCACTTGATTTGTGATTACCAAATTTTGATCCTGATTTTCTATACATTCTTAGACCAGTAAATTTATAACTGTATACTTGGACCCTGCATCATAGGTGAAACATGGTCCAAAACAAAATATTTCCAAGTAGAATTAAAACAAGAAATTGACTTAGATGGAATTTTTTTAAAAAAAGCTCAACTAACCTCATCTGTTCCTACTTGCTCTTACAAGTAGCAGCCCGATGATGACTCCAGTAAAAAATGACAACGATAGACAGTGGTAAATATTCAGAGAACTTAGAAATTTATCGGAAAATAAATATAAAGCCTAATCAATAATTCAATTTACTTTTCACCATGTTAAGCTGATTTGGGGGAATTCCATCTTCATCAGTAACCCTGGACAAAAGCAAATTGAATGAATAAGACTAGACTTTATAAAGTGTGTATTATATTCCTGGTTTAATAATAAATTATTACTTATTCAGATTTTGTAACAATATGTTGGTTATCCTCTGACATAAAGTAAGCTAATTGAGTATAAACAAAAGAAAAAAATGAAAGGTAGACATAAACACATAAAAAAATAATCATCAGTTGTGTATGTTATTTCAACCATAATAGCTTATATATCTAAACTATTAGTAAGAAAAGCATATTTAAGTCTTGTATTTATAAAGACATGTTCATTCTTTCCCTTGTTTACAGAAGTGACAAGAACAGTTTGTTTTTATCTTTGTAATGTAACAACATCTACCTGTTATTAAAATATTGTTTCATCATTAATTTATATAACACAAACTATCTATCATATGACCGTGAATAACTTTCTTCAGTTGATGTTCACAATGAGGGACTAGAAAATATACTAGGAAGATGAATAGTTGACATAAGACATTTTATAATGGAAATTCATTGAATTTCTGCTTATTCTTTTCAATGTGTTCATGGAGGATGTCTTTTGTTTACAAATGAACAGTATTTGGGCTCAAAAGTAATTTCCACTTCTGCTGCAGCAAATGTGAAACCAATGTAGTTGTTCGATCAGATCCAGAATGTACACAAGGTGAAGGCAACATAAATTTTTGGCAGTTTGGGGATTCACGACAGTAAGAAGTGGATCTCCACAACAAGAGGAGATCTTTTCAGTTTTGGGAATACTGTCTGTGAGTGAAAAAACATTCCAAAAATATAAAGAAAAAGTGGGACAAGTACGTGTGTATAGTTTTGTGATTTATTTATTTATACAGTACTAGTTTCTCGTTTTTGGCATAATGTAAAGTACATGTTGTTTTAAAACAGTACTTGGCATCATTATCTATAAATGAAAGTTATCACTATTAGTTTTATAGGCTTTTGTAATGTAAATTAGACAAGTTTCAAAACAGTGAGATTTTTTTTAGTATTTATGCATTATAAACTATGGTGGACAGTTTCACTTGAATGTTGGAAATGTATAACCATTTCATGCACAACACATTTTTGTTTATAATAAACGATAATTTTCTCTATTTTGTGTCTTTTCTGTTTTTAAGAAAATGATAATGATCTTTATGAAATACAAGTAAAAACAAAAAGTACTTCTTTTACTTGTAATACAAATACAGTAAAATTTCTGTAAAGAATGAGCGTAAACTTCAGATGACTATATAGATTTGCTGAAATCCCTGGAAATAGATTATTACAACTTTGAAATTGATTTTTTCAGACATGGGAAGAATGTATACAGACACAGATGGAAGAAGCTGGAAAAGAAGAATTTTGATTAGCTCAAGAGGCAGGGAATGTGGATCAAGATAGAGTTCATTGGATAAAAGTTGTAGCTGATGCTGGCTAGGGAACAAAAAACTACTGTCGTCGTTACACTTATAATACTGGAGTTGTAGTCATAATTGGTCATTGCACAAGAAAGATTTTTTTTGGCATTTGAAACAAATATTATTGCATATGTGCCACAGATGATAAAAGGAGAACAGCAACTGAGCACAAATGGTACTGAAACTGGAATGAATCATTACCCACTATGGAACCTTATTGTAGATAGATTCTGTAAGAGTAAATCCATGCAGGAAGTAAGGTATAGGGTACTAACTGGTGATGGTGATTCAAGTGCTTATAAAAGAGTTTTGGAAAGAGTGCCTTATAGCAGATCAGTCACGAAGGTTGAATGTACCAACCATATGGTCAGAAACTACACTAAGGTATTGCACAATGTCTCTAACAAAAGCACAGAAAGTGTAAAATGCTTATCAAAGTCTAGAATAATTCACATAAAAAAAGTGCAAGAAGCACTATTCAATACAACAGTAAAAATTCCAATAGTATAAAACTCTCATAGATGATCTAAAGAATGGTCCATATGTTTTTGGAAGCTACGAAAAATGCAAGTCTTATTTTTGTTCATCAGTCGGCAACAACAGTGAAAGAAACAATATCCTAACAAGGCCTCATTACCTTCTCACAAGAATTGTGGCTGCTGTAGACATGCTTGTACGACAAACTAACAAACTGATTTCAAATGGCACAAGCAACCTTGTCGAATCATATATGCATATTGTTACGAAATTCATTGGAGGAAACAAATAAGTAGATCATGCAGAGGTGCATATCTTTGGCATTGTCAAGATGCTAGTTTATCATACCAACTGGGACCTAACTGGCACACTTTAGCTTCCAAATCTTTTTTCAACAAAAGTCCATCTGCTATATTGACAAAATACACAGTAAAAACAAAGAGAGCAATGTTGGTCATGAAGACACATGAAGATGCTTGAGGCAAAAAAAATAAGGAGAGAATAACACTGTGAGGGTATTAGCAAAAAACAATAGACCAAATAGTCAGCAACTTGATTTAACAGAAAATGAATATCAGAGAAGAAAAACTGAATTTCTAATGGAATTGCAGGTATCAAAGGAGATTAGGGATAACATTGTGAGTAAAACAAAGGAACAGAACAGAAACCCAAAATGTAAAGAGAAATGAAGTAAAAGACTGACAGCTTCACACTTTTCTGGTAATCAAAAATTTTTTCCCAAGTTATATCACTTTTTTATGGAAACTTTGTTACCAGAGATTATTGATCCCATAATGGTCAGAAACATGGCTATCTAGAGGAAACCTTACGTTGTAATAAAAAAATGTAACTTACATTAGATGATAATATGTGGTTTATTTCATTCATCACATGTACAACTTTAAAGTAAACTATCTAATATTAATCTCTACAGTAAATAATGTATCTCCTTAAGAGACTTTCGTTTAGGCATAAATGTGAAGCAAAGTAGTGTTTATGTAAAATTGGTGAAAACTATATAAGAATTTTACAGACACACACACTCACAGAATAGTGCATTGGTAGAATGCTTATGGAATAAAAAGTAGAGGTGAGACTGAGTATTCAAATAATTATTTCAAAATAAACTATGATAAAAAAAAAGAGAAAAAGATGTGCTCAACAATACAAAACTTTAACATATCTGCAGGTCACTTTCTGATGTATGCTGAGGACTTAAAATTTCTGTTAAGAACAATGTATT